GGTTTACCGTAGGGTGACACACTTACTTAGTATAATCGGATTTTTGTATAGCAATCTTCTTATCATTTTTATGGTTCATTATCTCCACAGTCTGGCTTGTAGCATCTGTAGCTTACTGACCCTTACAATATGTTGACAATTACAGGTATCTATTAATAATAACTAGAAATAACAAACACTACATACAGTCATACCCAATTACATGTACGAAGGGTTGACATATGGCAAGAGGGTCCATATGCGACAACACGAACACTTTCAACGAGTATACTACACTCAAATGTTGGACTATATTGCGAAGGGGCAAGTGGAAGTCACTCCTCCCGCAGACGAGGCATTGGACATGTTCTACCTGCCGCACCAGGCCGCGCGGAAACACCAAATGGAGGATTGTTTCAACGCGTCCTCCCACGAAAGCAACGCACCGTCACTCAATGAATCGCTAGAAATGGGCCCAAATCTGCTTCCTGAGACACTTGCGGTACTACTGAGGTTCAGACTCTACCCAATAGCTATCTTGGGTGATATCAACCAGGCTTTCCTGCAGCTGGTATTAGACCGGAAAGATAGGAGCTTGACTAGATTGTTCTGGGACCACGTGATCCAAGACGATGAGGGAAGATACAGCACAACGAGCGACGTAATGACTTACCGCTTCACACCTCTTCCATTTGGTCTGACTTGTAGCCCATTTCTACTCTCGGCTACAATACGGGAACTTCCTGCCATGCACATGTCCCAGTTCCCCACTGCAGCAAGATAATTCGACATTCATGGACGACTTTGTAGCCGACGCAGAAGGTGACAACGGCGTAATTGCCATCTACTATGACCTCACCGCGCTGATGGAACAAATTCGACTGCCTACGGCAAAATGGGCCTCTAATTCTGATCCATTAAAAGAAATTTGGAATGACGAAGGCACAGAACACAAAACCAAACCGCAAGTACTGGGAGTAGACTGGGACACAGAAACCGTTGCCAGATTGTCATCAGGACATCACGGATAAACTGTCAGAAGAACCCGTGTGCAAACGGCAACTCCTTCAAGCTACTGCCAGATTTTACGACCCACTCGGCCTGCTGTCACCTAACTCCATCAGTGCCAAGGTACTGTTTCAAGACACTTGGTGTCGTGGATTAAAGCGGGATGAGCTGTTGCCACACGATCTTGGTGTACGCTGGCGCACATGGGTGTCGTCCTTGCCACACCTCTCAGAAATCCGTATACCCCGATGGATTGCAACATAAAAAAAAACTTCCAGATTCATGCGTACGATCTACGACAAACAACAACACCGTGATTCATTTAGGCTGCAGCAAGAACAGAGTTGCGCCAGTGAAAAGGGTAACTCTGCCCCGACTAGAGCTTCTAGCTGCACTACTGTGGGCACGGTTGCTCCACTACTTTTGCAAAGAGACAGGTTTTGACATCACGCATGCCACCTTATGGACAGATGCCACTGTTGCTTTGGGATGGATAAGAAGCGACTCAAATAGGTGGAAGACCTTTGTTTGCAATAGAGTCACCGAAATACAGACATACACGACACCCTCCCTGTGGAAACACTGCCCCGGAGAGGACAATCCTGCGGATCACCTATCGAGAGGAGTCCCAGCAGATCAGTTGAAGTCACTGGCTGTATGGTGGCATGGACCTTCTTGGCTCTCGCAGCATCCGTCCCAATGGCCCCTCCAAATAACAAATTTTGGCAAAGCCTAGCCATGCTCTTAGGGCGGTATCGCACTAGGATGCCATGGCAGCGTCACCAACAGCGATGCCATGGCGTCCAGCTGCCAGAAAAAGACGCCAGCCAAGCTGCCATCTTTCGACGCCAGTCGAGCGAACAGATGGATGTTGAAGAGGTAATAGCAGCGTAGGAAACAAAAGTTAAAAAAAGAAACAGAAAATGTGGGTGCATCCTTTCGTAGCCGACCGTCCTACAAGTGGAATGTTTTGCAAAATATACTCTGATTTAATAAAATATCCTGATAAGTTCTTTAGCTATCTGCGTTTATCCATAGGATCATTTGACGAATTATTAACTATATGTGAAAATGATTTTACAAAACAAGATACCATTCTGAGAAAGTTCATCAGTCCAGAAGAGTAGCTGTTCATATTGTCTTTTACTATATTCCTGTAATTTTTATAGATTTTCATTGCGGATGCTGTGTTTATGAAAGCTAGTGACTATAAAATAAAAAGCAGTATTTATTAAACAATAATTACTACAACCCTGTTCAACAAATCAACATTATCAGATCAAGAAATGAAGGGTTATTAGGAAGGAGAAATGTCCACTTTTATCACTTTGGAGGGAATGAGATTTACCTTTATCAAAACTATATACCTGGTGTGAATTTCAATTCTGTAACAAAGAAATTAAGTACAAAAATTCTCCATACACACACTTTGCATTGTTAAACGTCCATACACATTATATATTATTGAATTTGAAATATTTAAGTTCTTGCAAATCACATGTAATATTATATGTACAAACTTTATTTAATAAGACATTATAAAAGCAGGTTTCTTCTTAATTCACATTATTTGTGATATATAGATATATACATTGCTAAACAAAACAAAAAATTAAAAATCAAGTTGCCATATTGGAAAGCGGCCCCACAAATAAAGCCATAGAAACACTTCTTACCTAATTCTTTCTTTTCTACTGTAAATAAATCCCCTCCTCCAAATATTTGCCCAAGTTCTTCCCAGTTTCTTTTTTTCAAGTCCCGGTTTGCGTATTCAATACAAGATGAATCCCATAATGATGGTCGGGACTGAATTTCAATTATCAATCTTTCCGTGTCGAAATTATCCATGTTTGGAAGAAACAGAAATACACACAAGCACATTCATGCACGGACGTCAATGGACTGGCCTGTTGATTTGTCCTTGGCCGTGGCAGCGATGCCAGTAACATTTTCACTTGGCATCGTGGTTGGCAGCGATGCCGAGTTGGAAGCGCTGCCAGACGGATGCCAGGTGCGATATATGACTACTAAATTAATACATTTGAGTTTGGCCGAGATGCTGGCAGCTGCGCCATGGCCTCCCGTTGGCATCCTAGTGTGTTACCGCCCTTAACGTCGAAACTTCTCGATGTTTTCTAGAGTCTTCAAAATTCAGCTCCTACTGGAAACTGCTGCGCACTACAGCTTGGATCTTTCATTTCATACACAATATTCGAAGGAAAGAGTAATCTTCAGAGGAACTTACAGCGTCAGAGCTCATGGCTTCACGCACATACTGGATACAAATTGTTCAAAGGGAATGCTTTCCTGTAGAGCTGCAAGCTCTTCACAGGAACGTGCTACTTCCTCCGCAATCGAAAATATCACGTTTCAATCCATTTCCGGAGGATGGACTTATTCGCCTTGGCGGTCATCTACAATTCGCAGAACTCACTAACGAACAGCAGCATCCAATACTCCTTGACGGATCTCATCCCTTTGTTCGTCTACTAATTCGCTACACGCACATTCAACTGCACCACTTATGAGTTCGTGTAGTTCTGCCAGAGATACGTTCAGAATTTTGCAGGCGATCAAGAAGATTTTGCATACGTGCCTTCCCTGTAAATTGGCACACAACCACTTTGCACAGGAAATAGTGGCTCCGCTGCCAGCGGAGCGGGTGAAACCACTCAGACCTTTCGAGGTCACCCCAAAGAAATGTTACATAGCACTATTCACATGCGACAGAAATCGGGCTTTGTACTTGGAAGTTTGCTGTGACATGACTACTGACAAGTTCCTCTTAGCATTTCAGATTTGTTGGGCGACGCGGCCTACCTCACACGATCTACACCAACGCCCAGCCAAACGAAAACTCGCAACATTATGGACAGTTCTCACAGCCACCACAACACATCAATACCTGTCTCAGCGTGGAATTATACTTGGAAATTCATTCCCCCAAGAGCAGCTGGGTTGGGAGGATGGTTGGTACCACCAAACTATGTCTACGGAAGGTATTAGGACGATTGCAAATCAGTGAAGAGGGACTGAACACCACCCTTAACTCCCGACCAATCTGACAAGAGGGAGAAAACTCAGACGCCTTGACACTGGCACATTTCCTCACTGGAGAGCGGTTTACTACAATACCTAGTGGGCCAGAACCACAGGCAAGGATGAACCTGGCCAAAGATTTCAGAATGCGTCAAAAGCTGGCAGATGACTTCTGGAGGCGGACGAAGGATTACCTTTTGCAGTTACGGAACTTTCACGAAGTCCGTCATCCACGGAGGAACACAGCCAAGCTGCGAGAAGGCGACAATGTTCTGCAGGAAGACCTCAGACCGAGACACTTATGGAAGAAGGCTCGCATAGAGTAGCTACGGCAGGGAAGGGACGGAATGATAAGAACAGCGATACTCCACACCTCCAATGGAGACACAATCACTTGTCTGATTCACCTGGTCATCCCCTTCGAGACTGACCAGGGCGGGGAGGATTAAACATTGTTTCTGTTTATATTAAATTGTATGAACATTTATTATCAGTTTAAACTTTATCATCTCGGTACTATTACCTTGTAAAATGTAATATCTTTGGTCGCTGATCACCCTCTTTGGAAGGGACGTGCCCTTCTCCTTTTGAACCAGTCTGAATAAAGGAGACGGAGTAGCAAGGTCACGTATCTTTTTACCTATACTCCAAAGTGCATAAATTCCTCAACCTGAACTATTACAGCCACTTCTCACTTCATGTAGTAGTAGGTAAATTCTTCATATTTCCTACATCTGTGATAAAACAAATTTATTCCCTTCAATGTACGACACATTTACTAGCTTAAAATAAAATGAAATCTAACTTGTTGTGGATCTCGTGTAAACGCTGTACCTGTGCCAAGGTCATGGGAGTTGGTTATATATTAATTAAGGCTGTTCACAGAAACAGATGCTTCATTATTGTTATACACCAGATTACAATACAGGTCACTCATTAACCCACTGATTGTGTCATGAAATAAAAATACACAATTTATGTATGAACTAGCTTTATTTTGTTAATAGAAACTACAAGTTCTAATGCTCAGGCTTATAAACTTCAATACTAAGCACAATTCACCAAAATATAACTGAACCAAATGTCAAAACAGGCAAAATTCAAAAACAGTATGCAACTCAACTGACGGACGGCCGGATACAGGACGCGGAACACCAGGACCGTGCTTTTCTACGAGGCCTTGTGCTAATGAAATTCTGAATTTCAGGGTCACTTTGTTATTTGGGAGAGAGCGGTATATGATCATCGCATTATGTATTGCAACATAGAGTAGTCTCTTGAACAATTTTATATACCACTTTGTTCCTCGTTTTCGTTCCAGCAAGTACGGTTGTAGCATTTGATCCTTTAGATCCACTCCCAGCATGTTTTTGTTATAATCACGAACAACCACAGGCTTTGTTTCTTCTCGCTTGGCTCTGTTTACGGTCACACACATATCATCTTTGTGGTATGTAGATATCATGGTGACTTGCCAAGCGAGAACTGCCACATCTCCAGTGTTGACCAGTGCTCTCCTTTCGTCAATTTCTTACTCTTCACTGCAAAGTTTGGGAGGTCCTTGATATTCATTTTGCTCCCTGTTACCTGCAAAATGCATAAATTTGGTAATTAGCTCTAGTCTTTCCAGAGGTAAAGTCTAGAAAAAAACGGAGTTTACAGCAGCCGGTTCTTTGCATAGTAAGATCAAAGTGTAGGCTTTTGTACAATGTCCATCACCATAAATACAGCTAAAACCACGTACATTTCGTCCACTGAAACATCTTCCCAATTCCTAATCCTAGAGCGAAATGTGAAGGGTGGGCACTTTTCGACATTTGAACTGTACAAGAGCTATATCAACAATGTTTTCAAATGAACTCACGACATCTAGTCCAGCAGTGTCGAACTGGAGACCATATACATTACAAAATTCTTCTCGTGAACCAGGAAATGAGTCTATATTTTGCCACACAAACTTACTGGACACCCCTCCCAATCCTTATTGTCTTTCGTCACTACCATTGTCACTCTCACTATCGACGTCAGTTCCAGGTGTCACAAACTGTGTATAATCAATGTCTAATACGAGGTGCGATCGGAAAGTTTCCAGACTGTGTCATAGCGGGCGAACCGGATGTAGTACGAGCTTCTGCCGCTAGGGGGTGCTGCCTACATTCATAGTGAATCAGTGTGCCAGC